AACAGGAGTGGGTGTAGAAAAAGCCAAAAACAAACATGAGGGATTAAACCGAGGCTCAAATAATAATGCTTTTACAGCCTTAACCACTGAGCCAGGGACAGCATTACAGCTCTGTTCCAGGACTAAAAAGCTAAAGGTCTGGTCAACACTGCAGCTTATTGAGGACCAGACCAGCTGACTAATATATAAAGTGACATGCAGAGCATTTTTAACCAGCTGTGTAGAAGAATGCGAGCATATTTATAAAAAGAGAAGTTATTTAAACAAGCGGATGATGCTGATAGGGTGATGTGATGGCTCAGTGGCTTGCACTGTAGCCTAACAGCAAGAAGGTTGCTGGTTCAAGTCCCGACTGGGTCTTCACTTTCACCCACAGTCCAAACACATGCGCTATAGGTGAATTGAATAAACTAAACTGTGGGGCGACAGCAAAACTTACTGCGCCACTGCGTAGCCATACTTTTGATTATTGGTATTTTATTATTTTAACTAAATTTGTTAAATATTAAAAGTTAGATAGAAACAACGTTTGGAAATAATATTCTGTTAAATAAATAAATAAATAAATAAATAAATAAATAAATAAATAAATAAATAGTTTTAAAAATAAAAGGGTGAAGCGGTAGCGCAGTGGATAGCACGTTCACCTCACAGTAAGAAGGTCGCTGGTTCAAGCCTCGGCTGGGTCAGCTGGCATTTCTGTGTGGAGTTTGCATGTTCTCCCCGTGTCCAAACACATGTGGTATAGGTGAATTGGGTAAGCTAAAATTTACCGTAGTGTGTGTGTGAATGAGCGTGTATGGGTGTTTCCCAGTACTGGGTTGCTGCTGGAAGGCCATCCGTTGAGTAAAACATATGCTGGATAAGTTGGCGGTTCATTCCGCTGTGGCGATCCCTGATTAGTAAAGGGACTAAGCCAAAAAGAAAGTGCATGAATTAATTTAAATTATAAATACACATAATTTACATACATGCCTGCATAAATAAAATATAAATAAATCAATAGGCACAGCCTGCGCAATATCCTCATATTCCATCTGTAATGATGTTATAATGCAAATAGTTTGTTTATAATGAATCATTAACCGCATATATATATATATATATATATACAGTCGTGGACAAAAGTTTTGAGAATGACACAAATATTAGTTTCCACCAAGTTTGCTGCTAAACTGCTTTTAGATCTTTGTTTCAGTTGTTTCTGTGATGTACTGAAATATAATTACAAGCACTTCATACGTTTTAAAGGCTTTTATCAACAATTACATGACATTTATGCAGAGTCAGTATTTGCAGTCTTGGCCCTTCTTTTTCAGGACCTCTGCAATTCGACTGGAGGGTGTTTTGGTACCATTCTTTATTCATGGCTGTGTTTTTGGGCAAAATTGTGAGTGAGCCTACTCCCTTGCATGAGAAGCGATCCCACACATGAATGTTCTCAGGATGCTTTACTGTTGGCGTGACACAGGGCTGATGGTAGTGCTCACCTTTTTTTCTCAGGACAAGCCTTTTTCCAGATGCCCCAAGCAATCGGAAAGGGGCTTCATCTGAGAATATGACTTTGCCCTAGTCCTCAGCAGTCCCTTCGCCATACTTTTGGCATAAGACCAACCTGTCCCTGATGTTTTTTTGTTTTTTTTGGAGAGAAGTGGCTTCTTTGCTACCCTTCTCACCTTGTCCGGAGAAGAAAAGGTGAGCGCTACCATCAGTCCTGTGTCATGATCCTGAGACCATTCATGTGTGGGGTTGCTTCTCATGCAAGGGAGTAGGCTCACTCACAATTTTGCCCAAAAACACAGCCATGAATAAAGAATGGTACCAAAACACCCCTAGTAGCAAAGAATTCTGGCCCAGATTTGGCATAAAGCTGGGACATCAGGCATTCATCCGGCACTGGCATACAGCATGTGGGCCAACCATGGCCTGGGTTTGGCAGAGGTGGCACCGTCTATAATGCGGCACACAAGATTTGGGCCAGATGTTAAACGTAGTATTTGGCCCAGATTTTAAAAATTGATTGTGGGCCACGTGAGTTTGGCCAGTCTTGACTTGTATATAAAAATAATTTTTGATTAAATAAATCAATCCTACCAATCAGGTCACTGAGAAAAAACAAGGCCCATAGTGTGCCTAAAGCACAATGCTACATAGGTTTATTAATTTCATTGCAATCGTGACACACCAACCTTTCTGGCCCAGTTCAGGCCCAGTTATGAGTTATTAACTTGGCTGAGACTTGGCCCAGATATGGTCTGTGTTTGGCCCTTGTCTGGAAGCCAGATTTGGTCCAGTCATGTACCGTAATTCACTGCGGCATGTGGGCCAAGCAAAACCTGATTGTGTGGGCCAGAGCTGGGCCAGAGAAATTTTGCTATCTGGGACCCTCCAACAGCACCTTCTTCCAACAACAGTTTGGTGAAGATCAATGCATTTTTTCAGCATGATGGAGCACCGTGCCTTAAGGCAAAAGTGATATCTAAGTGGTTCGGGACCAAAACGTTGAAATTTGGGGTCCATGGCCTGGAAATTCCCCAGATCTTAATCCCATTGAGAACTTGTGGTCAATCCTCATAGGTGGATGAACTATCAAAAACCCACTAATTCTGACAAACTCCAAGAACTGATTATGAAAGAATGGATTGCTATTGAGAGCATATCCAGTCGAATTGCAGAGGTCCTGAAAAAGAAGGGCCAACACTGCAAATACTGACTCTGCATAAATGTCATGTAATTGTTGATAAAAGCCTTTAAAACGTATGAAGTGCTTGTAATTATATTTCAGTACATCACAGAAACAACTGAAACAAAGATCTAAAAGCAGTTTAGCAGCAAACTTGGTGGAAACTAATATTTGTGTCATTCTCAAAACTTTTGTCCACGACTGTATATATATATATATATATATATATATATATATATATATATATATATCATAGGTTAGACACAGAGACAGATCTACACTAAAAAGAACTAAAATCTGCCATCAGCCAGTGTCGGTTTAGAGAACTTATTTGTAAGAAACGTGGCGCCATCTAGTGGAGAACAACATGTACATACAACATTGAATTTTTCATTCATTCAATGTCTTTTTGGCTTAGTCATTTTATTAATCTGGGGTCGCCACAGTGGAATGAACCGGCAACTTATCACGCATATGTTTTATGCAGCGGACACCCTTCCACCTGCAACCCATCACTGGGAAACATCCATACACACTCATTCACACACACTACGGTACATTTTAGCAGACCCAATTCACCTATACCACATGTGTTTGGACACGGGGAGAACATGCAAACTCCACACAGAAATGCCAGCTGACCCAGCCGAGGCTTGAACCAGCGACCTTCTTTCTGTGAGGTGAACGTGCTACCCACTGCGCTACCGCTTCACCCTTTTATTTTTAAAACTATTTATTTATTTATTTATTTATTTATTTATTTAACAGAATGTTATTTCCAAACGTTGTTTCTATCTAACTTTTAATATTTAACAAATTTAGTTAAAATAATAAAATACCAATAATCAAAAGTATGGCTACGCAGTGGCGCAGTAAGTTTTGCTGTCGCCTCACAGCAAGAAGGTTGTTGGGTCGCTGGTTCGATCCTCGGCTCAGTTGGCGTGCATGTTTTCAGTTTTGCATGTTCTCCCTGCGTTCGCGTGGGTTTCCTCCGGGTGCTCCGGTTTCCCCCACAGTTTTCCCCTACAGGTGAATTGGGTAGGCTAAATTGTCCGTAGTGTGTGTGAATGTGTGTGTGGATGTTTCCGAGAGATAGGTTGCAGCTGGAAGGGCATCCGCTGTGTAAAAATGTGCCGATAAGTTGGTGGTTAATATACAAATAAATGTGGATAATGGAAGAATAACAAGTAGAAGTAGGAGGGAAGAGAGTATAATTTCAAGAATTAGATTTGGACATACAGGACTCAACAGTACATGATGAAACAACATCAGACTTTAAAATGTGATTATTGTGGGCAAGAAGAAACAGTAGAGCACTTTATTATGAAATGTACAAACTAGTACAACAGCAGGAAAGTATTTATTTTAAAGATAAATGTAAGAATTTCGAAGAGTTTAAATGAATTTTTAATTGGTTAAAGTACTACAAAACAAGCCAGATGATGATTGTATAGAATTTGTATTTTATTTTTTTAATGTCTAAATTAGATAAAATAATCTAGATAGAACTTGTGTATGTTTTTTTTTTTTTTGAAGATGGATTGTAGGCATAGATACATACACTAGATATCGCATAGAAACCCTGAGCATGCGTCAATAGCGCCGCCACATTGGTACAGTGCTCAAGGACAAATGTCATTCAACCGCACTAGTCAAGACAGTGTTACTACGTGAAGATGCTGTACTTTAGCGCTGTCTACAGGTGTAGTAACGAGCAAACAAAGAAAACAAAGCACAAAGGCAGAACATTTCATAGGTAATATTAAGTTTTTTTCTGTTTTTGTATTATCTGAATTTTTGTGCTAATCAGGTAACGTTATTGATAACAGTCACTTACTGCATTCACCATAAGGCAAAGCAACTTCCCGGCTAGTGAACGAGTCGTTCGGGGGATTCATTCACAAACGAATCGCTCCCTCCGTCAGTATGAGAAGTGAAAGCAGGAGAGGAGGTGTGTTTCAGGACATGATTAGATCAGATTTACCAGGGCTACAGTTCTGTACACAAACACAAGCTTTTTGTCAGGAATGCCCGTGCGGTCACTGATCCGTCAATGTAGAAAAGTGATGTAAAATTATAATTTTCGTATTTAGAAAAAAAAAATACATACTAACATCCAGGAAAACTCCCGATCATAGATATATGTGTATATGGGTATATCTCTGGCTTTGGATGGCCACAGTCCTCAACTGTACCTTGGTCCCGCATTCATTTCAAAGGAGCGCTACCCTGTAGCAAGAAGGCGGCGCTTGACGCATTCCGTCCATCTAACGTATATTTCTCCTCACCAGCAGGTAGCGGTAATGCACCTAGAAGTTGTATGCCAACCACCAATAAAACTCACAAGAAGAAGAAAAAGAAGACGAGCGTGTGGGACGTCAGTGTTTTGAACGGAGGATTCAACTCCATTAGAGCGCTGTTGGGTGTCAGAGACGTGTGGAGTTCGCTAATCTCATCTCGTTCTCATCCTGAACTGGTACTGTGTTTGTAAACCTCACCGTTTCATCGGATTTTGTGAGTATTGATAACTTTTTTTTCTTATTCACGTGAGCTACAACACTGCTCGCCAACGAAATCTTGCTGGGTCTAACTTTATTTTTATTAGATGATAATGTTGCTTTAAAATTGTGTTTACTTTTTGTATCTCTACCCTGCTGAAAAATCCAGCCTAAACCAGCCTAGGCTGGTTTAAGCTGGATTTTTCAGCAGGGTAAGCTTTGCTGAATTTAATGGCTTGAGGGGATTTAAACAAAAAGGGAAACAAAATAATTCAAATCATACTTGCGTGATGTCAGACCCAATATTCAAAAGTACCTTGGTAAACAATATACTGTAGGGAGCGTGTCACAAGTTTTTACTGAATGAATGTGTGGATATAAAATCAACCTCAATAAATAACACAATAATAGCCTCACACAGGGCTCATACGGTCATGGAAATCCTGGAAAAGTTTTAGAAAAACCCACAAAGTTTTGCAAAAGTCATGGAGTTTAGCTTAACAAATATCGGTAAACTTTAATATAGGTTAGTTGCCTGTCTTCTCTGTTCTTGTCCAAAAACATGGTCTCACATTATGAATGCTGTGTAAGCCTTATCTAAATTAATTTGACATAAATCTAAAAAAAAAAAAAAAAAAAAATTCAAACTAAATAGATTGATGTGTGTTTTATGAATCTATGCTGTAATAAATTTGAATCTGCATTTTTAATAAACATTACATGAAACATTCCCTGCTAAAAAAATCCAGCTGGTTTTAGAGGGGTTTTGGGCTGGTTTTCAGCTATTTTCAGCCTGGTCTTAACTGGTCAAGCTGGTTTTAGCTGGTCATCTCCCAGCCTGACCAGCTAAGACCAGGCTGGAAATGGCTGGAAACCAGCCTGGAAATGGCCAAAACCCCTCTAAAACCAGGCTGGTCGACCAGCTAAAATCAGCCAACCAGCCTATGCTGGTTTAAGCTGTTTTTTCAGCAGGGTTACGTCATGAAAAATGACTTGAAAGTCCTGGAATTTTTGTAGTAAAATGTGTGCTCACACAATATTTAATAATTGCAAAAAAAAAAAAATAATAAATTCAGCCTCTTGCATTTGTGATCGTCCTGTAAAAAGGGTGGAAATAAATGAATAATGGTCCAGTGTGTAAAGGAGCTTTGTAAATGTAAGAGTTGAATTATATTATGCAATAAAATAACATAAATACTCTCAGTCTTAATAACAATACACTTGAGCAATTCCATGCAAATGTCAACCTTGCTATGAAAAAAAAAAACAAAGCTTGTTGTGCAAGCAAGTATTTTACAGCACTTTAGAAATACTCAAAAATGTCTCTGTCAATGTTTTCCAACTATTATATTTGACTTGCCAAAGTCACACAAGTGGCAATTTCACATCGGTCACATCCATAACGGAGAGGTGTCACATCCATAACAACACTTTTTTTCCCTCATAAATGCAAAAATATTAAATAAAATAAAGTCAATCATTTTTGTTCTGTAGAGAGAACTGTATCCTTTTGATGATCATTATTTATTTTGGGTTGTGCAGTTTAATTCACAGAATTTCTACAAAGTATGTTGCATACTCTAAACTCGCTGACTTTTTTGTTCACATCCGTAATGCATGCTTATTTTCCTCATTTAAAATATAAACATGTTTACAGATTGATATTTTTCTGCTCCAGTAATTCTGTGGTTAGTTGTTCTGAACAATATAAACATGTTTCAATATAATGTTAACACATACTTTCCATGTGAATTTGGAGTTTTTACTGAACATGTCACATCCATAATGCTAGAATTGCTCACTTATATCTGAGACCCAGCATTCTGTTGCTAACTGATAAACATTTAGAATCTGAATGTTATTGGCATATACCTCTCACCCTGAAGGTTATTAAAACAACATTCAAGATAACAAAACTGCCTTGAAGTGAAGCGCACTTTTATTTTTTACAAACATCTTCGCTTTATAAGTCTTCTATGTGAGCTAACAGAGCCGTGGGTCTGAGTGCACATTTTACAAGATAACACATTATCTTCTGCCAGTCATATGTCATTACTTAGTTAATCAGAGCTATACAGCTGAGCACCATGTACTGTAACAGCAGCCACAGCAGTAAAGCTTGCTATGCACTGACATTGCAAAGTGGACTTCCAGTATTTTAATCCCTTTCATAGATTTAATGGCTTGAAACCGTTTTACAGACTAGTTAGTTTAACTAAGTTTGAAAAGACTAGGTTATCACGTTAAAATAAAGGCTCTTGCTAAATAATTGCACAATCCTGCATTGATAGATGGCTACTGTTCTTACATGTGGATTGATTGCCAACACATAATTCTACATATTAGGGACCCCCTCGAAAACGAGTTGATACATCTTAAGGGGCTATCCCATTCATTAAATTTAGTTCAATATTGCTTATGATATAAATAAACAATGCATATTGAATTCTTGGTCTTCAATGGAAAAGCTATATTCCACATTTTTATTAGACTGCAGGGTTCAACGCTAAGGATTTTTTTCTACTGGGCCAATCGGGCCAGTGGTTGAGGTTTTTACTTGCCCTGCCAAAATTTTCACTGGCCCCACTAAAAAAAAAAAAAAAAAAAAAAAAAAAAAAGGTTAATATCTATTTCTTAGCCACATATTTTAAATAATGTGGCAAAATAATAACAATGTCAATAATAACAATAACAACTAGATTCTTAAAGTTTGAGGACAAACTTTGAGGCTGCCTTGTGAAAGTCTGATGGTAATAGTTTATTTAGTTTAAACAGTTTTAAAAAGTATGAAAAGATGATAGATAGATAGATAGATAGATAGATAGATAGATAGATAGATAGATAGATAGATAGATAGATAGATAGACTACCATGTTACTAGCATGATTCTAGCATGAATTAGCATGTTACTAGCATGATAGACAGATAGATAGAAAGATGGTGTGCTAGCATGAGTCAAACAAGCCAACCCCCGCTTCTCTGAGATGTTCTGATACTAAGATATAGCTGCTGTTAAATCGTTGCTAGGTTAGTCTGTTTTGTTGCTATGGAGTTGATTGACAGTTTAGACTGATGGTGTATCAAAGCTTCTTGCCAGTATAAACAATTAAAAGCAACACATGTTTCTATCACACTGCAGCATGACAATATCAATCTGAACCTCTATAATGGAAGTCTATGGGACAGTTTCTAGGGTCCCAAAAGTGGTTGCTAGGGTGTGGCCAGAAAGTTAAACGCTCATCAGTTATTGGCAGTTAGGTAGTCTGAGTTAAATGAGCCCAGTTAGAAGTCTGTAGGACAGTCTGATGCAGAGTTATGAGGTCAGAAAGTTTGGTCCAATCTTAAGTTAATGGGATTTTTCCGACGGTCCCAGGAAGTTTTTCGGAAAACCGAAAGTCAGATCAGTCAGAAAAGATATAGCAACCCGAGTCAGGGCAGTTTGGAGGTCTGGTGTGAGTTTGGTGGTCATAGCTTGAAAGCTCTAGGAGGAGATAGAGTTTAATTTTTAGTCTCAGAAGAAAAATAGGATAACAATAGTCTGGCTTGCTACACAAGCCAGCCTAATAAAACAACAAAAACAATGTCTGAATTTAGAATTTAAACATTTAAAAAATGTTAATAAATGTATAATGAACAAAATTATTATTATTATTAGTAGTGCTAGCTGTGTTTGATTAGGGTTGGAGAAAAACTGCAGAGCTGTGGCTCTCCAGGAATTAAGTTTAAGACCTATGTTTTAAACAGTACAGCTCCTCTTTGCTTATATGGAGCCCAATAAAATAATCGGGTAAACCCAAATCATTTATTAACATGAATTACACATTTTGTTAAACTAATGCATGTTTTTTCTCTCCACATACAGGCCTTAAATCAAGTCTCTAATGCAGCACGAGGAGAAATAAACAAAAATCCAATGAAATTAGTATGTTTATGGAGGAAAGGGAAACTAAACTCTGTGAAATGAGTGGGTCATTTTTCTGTGATAGAGCTGTCAACTCTCAGCTGTGAGTATCATCTAGCTACACAACTATCTGCTAAGTTACTTGAGAGTAACTCTCTGTGACACTGTAAAACGGTGTAACCTGTTAATTTGTTAAAGACTGATGAAATGATTTATTGGTTACAGGAATTAGTCAAGTAGAGTTCAAAATTCCAACATGTATAATTAAATGGATACCTCGCATCAAAGATATATTCTGTCAAATTAAAGCTACACTTGAAACAATAATCTATATTACACTTTAAATTTCTGGTATGCATTCTATCCCCATCAGGAAGAGAAAGAGAGCAGCGTCTCCATTATCTAGCTGTGTCTCTCTGAAGAGTAACCGCTCCATTCGTCTCCCCCCTGATCTCAGTGATGGAGCTGTGAACTCTGACTCTGTGTGAGTATCATGTTCAACTCCACGTTTCTCTCCCTACATTTAGGAGGCTTTTACACATTTGCTGCTGCCTGAGCCAGGGTGTGATTGTTTCTTGCACCTGACTCTGAGATATTTTCCTAATTAGTGATTATCAGCCCGTAGTTTCTTTACTACCAAACTCGAACTCTTATTTCATATAGTTTTAGGTTCAGTACCTTCAGTAGTTCAAATTATACAAAATTTAATAAATTACATTTAAAGAAATGTTTTAATAAATTTCATTTCATTAAGCCCTCCGTCTGATCATGATTGATCTCCTAATGTGCTTCGTCTTATTCTTTTACATTAATATAAAATTATTAAAATAGACTTGTTCACAGCCGTTAGATCTTATGTTAATAGATAAAGAATAATACATGTTGTGTAATATTTTAATATTATATTTGTTAGGGTTTTAAGCAGCATTTATAATAATTAAAAAAAAAAACAACAATCCCAATCTGACCAGGTCAAATTTAAGCATTTGAGAAATAAAACACACTGTCTCTGTTATAGCACACACAAACACACACACGCGCGTTATACAAACAAACCAAAAAACGCAGAATCCCATCTTATGTTTATAATGTCTGAGCAGAATGTAAGTGTGTATGTGGTTGTGTTCTAGTGTGGAACATGGAGGAGGATTCAGGACTGTATCAACACTGCACAAATGTAAGTCTCTCACACGCACATGTGTAGAGTTTGTAGTTTGTCGTAAATGTTGTAATGTGTGTGTTCTTGTGTTCAGATGCCTGCAAACTCACACTGGATCCAAACACAGCAAACAACAATCTCGTTCTCTCTGAGGAGAACAGAACGGTGACGCGTGTGAGACGGAAATGGAGTCGGTCTTATCCTGATCATTCAGACAGATTTGATGAGATCAATCCTCAGGTTGTGTGTAAAGAGAGTCTGACCGGACGCTGTTACTGGGAGGCTCAATGGAGCGGATCATCTGCTGAAATAGCAGTGTGTTATCAAGGAATCAAGAGGAAAGGAGGGACTGATGACTGTGTGTTTGGACGTAATGATCAGTCCTGGAGTCTCTTTTGCACTGATCAGTTATTCTCTGTCAATCACAACAATGAACGCACCGATATCTCCGTTAATCCAGACTCCAGCAGGACAGTAGGAGTGTTTGTGGACGAGTCGAGCGGCTCTCTGTCCTTCTACAGGGTGTCTGATAAGCTCACACAATTACACATAATCAACACCACATTCACCGACACACTCCACGCTGGATTTAGACTCGGTTATAAATCTTCAGTGTCTCTGTGTCACATTTAATAACACACAGAGTCTATAAACCTATGAAAGTTTTCTTACTCATGTCATTTCTTCTCTCTTGTGTTTGCTGTGATGTGTATTAAACACTCTGCTGCTTGTGAAACAGATTCACTTCCCGTTTCCTGTTGGTTTTGTGTTTGTACACTGCCTTAATGTCCTGTCAGAATTAATGTACATGTGAGTTTTTTAACTCCTGTTTATTATTGTGAATCTACAGACGATCGTTTTAATGGGCTCTGTCATACACCTGGCACAATAAGGGGCAAGATGTGTTTGGTGCGATTTAATGCTATTTTCTGACCAGTGCAACCCTAATTTTTCCATTTTGCGCCTGGTTGTCTAAATCGCAAATCCATTTGACCCAACTTGTGGACTCATAGGTGTTGGTCTAAAAAGGAGGTGTGTTAAGGCGCATTGTTGTCATGTTGCTATTTTGATGAACTGAAATAGACCGCACCATTGACCAACTGAAAGTAGGTCTAAAGTCCAGCGCAGAGCGTGTTAGTTATGGGCCTATGCAGGTCCAAACGCTTACACACTGCTTAATACACACAGGATGAACAGCAATACACAACTAGAACCCAAAGTTCATTGATAAACTTTGATGTTGGCTTGAGAAAAGCCAACGTGACTGCGCTAGGACTGGGAATGGCAGTTTACAGGAAGCACGGCGGCGGTTGCTAAGTGGTTGCTAGGCAGTTGCTAAAACGTTTATGGCATTGTTAGGTGGTTGCTAAGCAGTTGCTAAATGGCAATGCTCGTGTACATATTTGATCAAATGCTAATACTTAGTAGGCATTCCTAGCATATGTTATTGCATTTAGATAATCATTCATAGCATGTAGCTAATTGTTATTAGCACTTGGCTTCCATTATCATTGTTACCATGCATAGTACACAGGAAGTCCCATTTGCTAGCATGAGTCAAACAAGCCAATGCCCAGGTCCCTAAGATGTTCTGATGTAGAGATATTGCTATTTTTAAATGGTTGCTAGGTTATACTGTTTTATTGCTATGGGGACATTTGACAGGTTAGTGATGATACGTCAAAGCTTCTTGGCAATATGAGTGATCTTAATCAACCCCGATGTTTCTATGACAGTCTTTATGAGTGTCAAAAACTGGACTTGAACATTATGTATTCCTGGTGTTGGGTTGCGGCTGGAAAGGCATTCGCTGTGTAAAACATGCTGGATAAGTTGGCGGTTCATTCCGTTGTGGTGACTCCTGATTAATAAAGGGATTTAGAGAATGAACATTATGTAAAAATGGCTTGCCGTATTTTTTTGAAAATACAATGCTTAATTAATTAATTAAGTGTGAAAGTGATACATGCAAAGATGGCTTGCCATATCAGTAAAACATGGAGTTTAAGTCAAAACTGGCTTGCCATATTTTGAGAAAAAAATGCTTAAAAAATATTTATTGGAAAACTATAAGTCTGATAAACCTTAAAGATAAAGCAACAAAATCTAACGCATCTAAATACAGCTTTTGGCCAATTTTGGGACTTGTATAATTTTTTTTTATATGCCCGGATTATAAAAATTTAATATTTAACATTTTTTTATTAAAAAAACGATAAGTCTTATAAGCATGAGGAGATATAGCAACAATCTTGAATGCAGAAGGCACATTTTGACCACATTTGAGCCTTGTGGCATGAACGGCCTAGGAGGAGATACGTTTGTTTTCAAGGACAGAGTAGTATAACAGTATATTGGCTTTCTCAAGCCAACATAAATATCTTTACATATGAAAACAATTAAAGGATTAAAATGTTACAAATATTATTATTTTCTACATAAATATAAAAAAACACAGCCTTCATGCCTTTTTCCAGGTCATTCATGATCATTTGCATTAGTATAATGTTATTATTATTAACAGTATTTTTTATTTTAAGCATATTTATATTTGTTTTATTATAAATAAGTTACGATTTGTCCATCTGTGGGGTTTTGGAGACATGCATCACCATATGGGGCATAAGAACAGGACGTGTGTGGTTTTTTGACCACACTTCGTTATTATTGTTCATTTATTTGTTTGCTTGAAATTAAACCTGAATTTAGAAATAGTTTTGAAACAAATCTTTGCGCTTAACAAAGGAAATTAAATGCATAGGCTAATGGATGTCTTCAGTGGACTGCGTACAACACTGTTTTCTTCATGAAAGTAAAGGAGTAAAGAGTAAAAGTAAAGTAAAGAGGCTTAATGGAGGCTGTTTTCTCGCTAGTTAAGCGTTCAGTTTTTACACTAACAAAGTCTGCCATGTAAATAGCAAATGCACCTATTTAAAGGGAATGTGAGAGGAGACTCTTGATTGGTTTATTGCACATTATGCTCAAAACACACCTAGAACTCATTAAGAGAATAAGCACAACCATGTGCTGGGGCACAAACTGTATTTTTCCATCCTTAAAAGAGCAAAAGTGTATTCAGACATGCCCTTAATTAGGAATTAGGAATGCCCCGATCATTTTTTAGTCCTCGAGTCCGAGTCGTTTACTTTTGAGTATCTGCTAATGCTGAAACCCGATCCGATATTTCTAAAATATATAAAAAAGAATAAAGAAGAGCGAAGAAACAGATCCAAGGATGTTCCTTATTTTTATATTTAATTCACCTTATTTTAACATTCAACAACTCTGTTAACAAACAGAGCACTTTTGTGAGGTAGCTCATACAATCAAGTTATAAATAACATCAATTCTTGACTTTTGGACTCGGGAGACTTTCAAGACCAGAGAATGCATAAAAAATGTGGAAAAAGTGAAGAGCTATGAATACTTTCTGGATGCACTGCATATGCAAAATAATAAGATATATAAATATAATTTCAATAGTTTATTAATCATTTACTTACGCATTCTGAATGATCTTTAAAAAAACACACCAACTATGCTTAAATAACTGCTTTGTAAATGATGCATCACTTAATTTAGTAATATTTTTTTCCTTAGAGTATGAAAGTACAACCGTTTAGCAAATTTAAATGAGCTTATAAGTCAAATATAAAGCATTTGTTTTATAATTATATAATTATAAACTGCTTATGAGAATTGATGTAGAGTTATTGCTTAACCGATAATGAATTAGTGGTTTGCTAATGCTTAATAAATGGTTCATGGTGTGTAGTTATTATAAAGTGTTACCTTTATAACATTCTCAGGCATAATTTTTGAGCCACGTATTGTTACATTTGTTGTTTTAAGTGATGGTGAACATTTTCTGCGGGTTTTTTTTTTTTTTTTTTTTTTTTTTTTTTTTACATACAACCAGAAAATAAAGGTAAGAGTTGTTTTCTTTTTTTGGTCAATAAATGCTGAAAAGTACAGACTTAATTAATTCATTACATTGTAAAGTATAATTGTTAATTTTTCTAGCATGATGATGATACCAAACACACAAGCTAATGCAATGTAATCATATTTGGAGAGAAAACCAAACACAAGCACTAACAGTCATGAAATGGCCTTCACAGAGTCCAGACTCAATATTATAGAGCAGGGATCAACAAACTTGTTTCTGGAGGTCCGGTGTCCTAAAGATTTTAACTCCAACCCAAATCTAACACATCTGAACAAGCTAATCAAAGTCTTACTTGGTATACTTGAAACACCCAGGCAGGTGTGTTGAGGCGAGTTGGAGCTAAACACTGCAGGGCACCGGACCTCCAGGAATGTGATTGGTGACCCCTGTTATAGAGCAATTACCAAATTAAGCTGGACAGAAAAATGAAAGATATACCAGCCTAAATCTGAAAAAGCCCTATAGCCAAGAAATGTAACATCAAATACTGTCTTTTGCTAGCTATATATATATATATATATATATATATATATATATATATATATATATATATATATATATATATATATATATATGAAACAATTATTGAATTGAACTGAGAGAGAGCAAGGGCTTTATTGGCAACAAATCAAGTAACTCAAACTAAATATCTAAGCGTGAATTTATTTTTCCTGAATTGATTTTTGGCGTCACTCTGCGGGAGCGAGCACGCACTGCCAGGTGAAACGTCATAACGTCATCAGCATTTTTTGCGGAAGAACTTATAGGCTACCTGTTTTTCACAGAGCGAAACCGAAAGCAGTCGTGTCGAGTGAACCGACGCCATTTCGGGATTCTAAAGATGTAAGAACAAAACAAAATCCTTTACATGTTACAGTAAGTTCGTTGTAAAGTTTCATAGCTTGAATATCATACAGACTAACTCTGATTTTTCACGTTACTGAAAATTGCCGGTAATGTTACAACTTCTCTTTCCGGAAAATAGCCAGAACGAATTTACCGGTATTTTCAAAAAGGACCTGTTCACACATACAACATTTTCCGGAAAGGTCTGTATGTGTGAAAGGGGCTATTGACTCTGTGAACAATGTACTTTGAATTAGGTAAAGTTGGTTTTATATTCACACATTCATTCACTTGTGACATGCTCCATTTATTGTTTACCATGGTACTTTGAATATTGGGTCTGAAATCACATGCAAGTATGACTTGAAAACATTAGCACTATTTATTTGACTGTAAACAATGTTGTTCTTTGATAATCATTGACTGCTTGTATGATTTCACCATTCAGGAGTTGCAAAAAAAAAAAAAAAAAAAAAAAGTGAAATTATATTATTAGGGAAAAAGTCTGAATGTGTGACTATAAAACTAACTTTACCTCAATGTACTTTGATAGTCATTGGCCACTAATAATTTCTCTCTTTAGATTGTGTTGTTGAGAAAGTCTGAATAGGCAAATATAAAACCAACTTTACCTCTAGTCTATATTATAAGCAATGTTTACGGATTTCCATATATGCCTAACGTTATATGTAAAACTTACAGCATATACAGAGATAGTGTTTGTACAGTTTTTTTTGTTCTGTCTGTGACCCGAGTTCTGAGATGCTGAAACACTACAGTTTTAAATGGTGCACACATGTAAATTAAAACACACACCACATCAGACATACTTATGGCATATATTATATTATAATTTATATCTCAAATACTCCGCCAGAGATGGGTTGCGGATGGAAGGGAATCCGCTGTGTAAAAATGTGCTAGATAAGTTGGCGGTTCATTCCGCTGTGGCAACCCCGGATAAATAAAGTGACTAAGCCGACAAGAAATTGAATAAATCTCAAATATCGCAGCCTAAAGTATTGCAGTCTTATTTTGTGGCAAAGTATTTATAAATAATAAAAAAATAATATTTGTATTTAAAATCTTGAAGTGCTAAAGAAATTAGCACGTCATGTATGTTACAAAAAAAGTCTTAGTATTACAAATATTAAAGGGTGTATAATTCATGTATTTTTCTTTCCAAAAACAGGCTTAAAATCAAATCTCAAATGTGTCAGGAGGAAAATAAATGAAATGAGTGCATTTGAGGAGAGAGAGCAGAAAGCCTCTGTTGAGACTCAGAGAGCAGCATCTCCATTATCTAGCTGTGTGTCTTTGAAGAGTAACCAGTCCATCGGCGTCCGTCCTGATCTCAGTGATGGACCTGTGAACTCTGAGTCTGTGTGAGTATCATGTAGTAAATGGGTTTGACTAACCACTTGTAGAAAACACACACTTTCATCTCTCGGACACTTTAAGTAACACTTGCACCAATTTTTGCACATTTGCACCATGCAGTATTTTACAATCACTCCTTATCTAAAACAAACAAACAAACAAACAAACAAACAAACAAACGTGCATTTACAAAGGGTGCTTCACACTGGTGAGTGAGATTGACAAACCACCTGTAGAAACAATCTTCTCTCTATTAAAAAAATAAATTCAAAAAAACCCTCTCCCCTTCTTCCTCTAGCATTTAATTCTCCGAGCACTAACATTTTGTGTGTTTGTGCGCCTCTTCTTGTTACATTGCTGAATGTATAAAATGGATAGTTCAACTAAAAATAGAAATTCTGTCATTGTTTATTCATCCTCAGTTTGTTCCATACATTTCTTTGCTCTGCTAAACACATTCTTTATTGTAAAAAATGTAATTGACCAAACAGATCATGCCCTCCATTTAATGAGGGAAGCTTATGCTCAGCTGATCACATCTCTGTTTCCATCCACGACACATTTTGGATTATCACCTTAAAGTGAACCTAGTTTATGCCTTTTCAAGGTCTTTTGTGCCTCCAGTACGTGTCTGTAGTTTCTGTAAGTTTCAAATACACCCATCAGCTCAAAACACCCATCCGATTAATTATTATACCTTTCGGAATATTGAACATTTCTGCTCTGAACACAGTGTAGCTGATTTTGTTGTCTGTGCCTTTCATGCTAGTTCCCTCTGCCCACCGTTCCCACATGCCTTTCAAAGTGTGTCTCAATCTCCAGCTGTGTCAGATAAACAGTACAGTGACAGACATGAAGGTAGCAGATCCCACATAAAGCTCGTGAGAAATACTACAGTAAGAACTTTCCCAATGATTATTTGATGTATTTGTTGTGGAGTTAATTCAAGCCTTTCTGCAACTCTGAGTCACACAAAATGTATTTACAAAGCTCACTCACAGTGTGTGCATTTAACTTTTTTTTTAGCAAGAATAAAAGCAGTTTTTAATTTTTTTAAAAAACCATTTTTGGGACAAAATTATTATCCCCTTTAAGCTAGCTTTTCTTTTGTTAGTCTACAGAACAAACAATCATTATAGAACTTGCCTAATTATCCAACCTGCCTAGTTATCCTAATTAACCTAATTAAGCCTTCAAATGTCACTTTAAGCTGTATAGAAGTGTCATAAAAATATGAAGTAAAATATTATTTACTGTCATCATGGCAAAGATAAAATAAATCAGTTATTAGAAATGAGTTATTAAAACTATTATGATTAGAAATGTGCTGAAACAATCTTCCTTCCTTTAAACAGACATTGGGGAAAAAATGAACAAGGGCGCTAATAATTCGGGGGGGCTAATAATTCTGACTTCAACTGTATACCTTTACACTGCTCTGTATTTCACCAGAAAAAGAAGACGCTGCGTGTTAAATACGAGTAAACTTTAAAAAGTCACATGTACCTACAAATATTACTCTGGAAGACTGGGAATTAATTAAATATAGTCTTGCAGGCACTCCACTCAACACAATCACAGTGCACACGCTAGCAGAGCATTAAAGCATTGTACGCACAGCGCATGTGCAGAAGCAGCATTTGCCTTTCACATCAGCGGCATCTGCAGCGTGCACCTGAATCACAGCTGTTGCACAGTATATGTAAAAACAACAACAACACTTTTTAACTTTACCCGTGCAATGATTCAGTGGATTTTAATCTTTGAGCTGTTGCACACACAATACAGACGTATGGATACAAGATTTTATTTAACATAAATTTTTCTCAGTGTAGAAATGATTGCATGTAAGGTTGCGTGATAAAACGGTATCGGTATTTATTGATGGTACACCATTTTCAATATTGATTAAAAAAAAGTTTGTTATTAACAGGTATGATTTTATTAAAAAGTGGCTGGCAGAGCATGCGCAAATAAGCTTAGAGCAGGGATGTCCAAACTCTGTCCTGGAGGGCCGGTGTCCTTCAGATTTTAGCTCCAACTTGCCTCAACACACCTGCAAGGATGTTTCTAGAAAGCCTAGTAAGAGCTTGCTTAGCTAGCCCAGGTGTGTCTGATTGGGGTTGGAACTAACCTCTGCAGGACACCGGCCCTCCAGGACCGAGTTTAGACATGCCTGGCTTAGGTACACTGAAAGTTTGTTATTTCCAATAGAGGCACGTGACTTTTTCAGACGCACCAAGTTGAAAACCTTTCAGAATGACGTGAGCGCACTGCGATTCTCGTGACTAGAACTAACAAATCAGCTTCTCACTTTGGTAAATACACATAAGTAAAATTACCTCAGACAAACACAGAGCACCCAAACACTGCAGTGCTTTTTACTTTTCTCCTTAAATAAAACTTGTATCCGAGCTGCAGCAATGGTTTGTCTGTTTGTGTGTTTTTATATACCAATGTAACTGATTTATTTATTTTTTATTCTGTATCTTCAGTAGAAATGGACACAGATCTCCATTATCTAGCTGTGTGTCTTTGAAGAGTAACCAGTCCATTGGTGTCCGTCCTGATCTCAGTGATGGAGCTGTGAACTCTGACTCCGTGTGAGTGTCATGTATAGCTATCTGCTGTTGTGAAACTTGACATGATGTGACGTTTATTTAAAATGTTTGTAAGTAAATTTCTGTAAAGTGTAAAATGTACCTTAAAGACCTATTTGGACCTTGTTTAATGGTGATTAATTGTCACAGGATGGTAACAGGTGACACGTGAAATGTATATATGTATATACTTAGCTGGAGCTTGGCATCAAAATGGCTGAAAGCCATGTGTTTTACCTTTAAACTTAAATATATAACTAATCATGGGTAAATGAAAACAAAATTAAGTATCTAAAATTATGTATTTATTTAAGCAAGACTTGTAAAATAATTCTCTTTACATTTCTGTTGATAAATTATAATTTAATGGAAGATACATTACCAATTGTGAAACTTTTTTTCTCAGTAAATCCAGCAAGAAGAGAAAGAAAGCGGAATCTTTATTATCTAGCTGTGTGTCTTTGAAGAGTGACCAGTCCATTGGTGTCCGTCCTGATCTCAGTGATGGAGCTGTGAACTCTGACTCTGTGTGAGTATCATGCATCACTATATGCTGTTGTGAAACTTGACATGATGTGACATTTATGAAAATGTTTGTGAGTAAATTTCTGTAAAGTGTAAAATGTATCTTAAAGACCTATTTGTACCTTGTTTGATGGTGATTAATTGTCACAGTATGGTGACAGGTGACATGTGAAAAGTATATACAGTGGAAGTAAGAATTATTAGCCCACCTGAATTATTAGACCCCTTGTTTATTTTTTCCCTCATTTCTGTTAAATGGAGATCAGATTTTTTAAACACATTTCTAAACATAATAGTTTTAATAACTCATCTCTAATAACTGATTTATTTTATCTTTGTCATGATGACAGTAAATAATATTTTACTAGATATTTTCAAGACACTTCTATACAGCTTAAAGTGACATTGAAAGGCTTAACTAGGTTAATTAGGTTAACTAGGCAGGTTGGATAATTAGGCAAGTTATTACATAACAGTGGTTTGTTTTGTAAACAGTCAAGATAAAAATGTAGCTTAAAGGGGCTAATAATTTTGTCCCTAAAATGGTGTTGCAAAAATTAAAAAAACTGCTTTTGTTCTAGCCGAAATAAAACAAGTAAGACTTTCTCCAGAAGAAAAAATATTGTCAGATATAACGTGAAAATTTCCTTGCTCTGTTAAACATCATTTGGGAAATATTTAAAAAGAAGAAAAAAATTCAAAGGCGGCTAATAATTCTGACTGGTGCTTGGTATCAAAATGGCTGAAAGCCATGTGTTTTACCTTTAAAATTAAATATATAACTAATCATGGGTAAATGAAAACAAAATGAAGTATCTAAAATTATGTATTTATTTAAGCAAGACTTGTAAAATAATTCTCTTTACATTTCTGTTGATAAATTATAATTTAATGGAGAATACATTACCAATTGTGAAACTTTTTTTTCTCAGTAAATCCAGCAAGAAGAGAAAGAAAGCGGAATCTTTATTATCTAGCTGTGTGTCTTTGAAGAGTGACCAGTCCATTGGTGTCCGTCCTGATCTCAGTGATGGACCTGTGAACTCTGAGTCTGTGTGAGTATCATGCATCACTATATGCTGTTGTGAAACTTGACATGATGTGACATTTATGAAAATGTTTGTGAGTAAATTTCTGTAAAGTGTAAAATGTATCTTGAAAACCTATTTGGACCTTGTTTAATGGTGATTAATTGTCACAGGATGGTGACATGTGACACGTTAAATGTATATATGTATATACTTAGCTGGTGCTTCGCATCAAAATGGCTGAAAGCCATGTGTTTTACCTTTAAACTTAAATATATAACTAATCATGGGTAAATGAAAACAAAATGAAGTATCTAAAATTATGATTTATTTAAGCTACACTTGTAAAATAATTCTCTTTACATTTATGTTGATAAATTATAATTTAATGGAAGATACATTACCAATTGCAAAACTTTTTTTTTCTCAGTAAATCCAGCAAGAAGAGAAAGAAAGCGGAATCTTTGTTATCTAGCTGTGTGTCTTTGAAGAGTAACAAGTCCATTGGTATCCGTCCTGATCTCAGTGATGGACCTGTGAACTCTGACTCTGTGTGAGTATCATGTTTAACTCCATATTTCAGTCCCCAAAATTTCAGTCGCCTAGAATACAACAATGTGGAGTTGGACATTTAACAAAAATAATATAATTAATTAAACAAGAATATACAAAAATCTGTGCTGGTCAGTGATTTAAAAATTTGTATTACAACCAGGGGCAATTCACTTTAAAACAAATAATGTACATTTTACAGTAGTATTCTTTTTACATATTAACAAGTTAGTGAGTCTTCAAGAACCATCTGTTGATCAAAAGGGATATACAAATGTATGTATGCAGTGAATATGTACAATTTGAGATTAGTTGGTGTAATAAAGTTCAATGAATATGTAAAGTTTCTATTTTTATTTTATTATGAGTGGGGCAAAAGAGTAAGTGGAGTAAGTAAGATTTCGAAAGGGAAATCAGTCTGCTGGTTTTTGTCCTGGGGAGCCTGAAGTGCTTGCCGGAAGGCAGGAAAAGAAAACAGAGCAGGGTGAAAGGAATCTGTTAGAATAATGCATGCTCGTCGCAGACAGTGTTTCTTCTGGATGTCCTAATGGCCGAAAGTGGAGTCCCTGTGATTTGTTGTGCTGTTTTCACCACCCACTGCAGTGCCTTACATTTAGCAACAGAGCAGCTTCCATACCAGACTGTGACGCATTTGGTCAGGATGTTCTCTATTGTGCAGCAATAGAAGTTCACCAAGACGGCTGAGGACAGATGGTTCTACTTAAGTTTCCTTATGAAAAAGAGGCATTGGTGAGCTTTTTTGACCAGGCTGGAGGTGTTGGTGGTTCATGACAGGTCCTGTGAGATGTGGGTCCCCAGGAACTTGAAGGATGAGACGGGCTCAACGGCCATCCCATCTATGTGACTGGGATCATGTGAGCCTGTTCGTCTCTTTCTGAAGTCCACAATGAGCTCTTTGGTCCTGGTAGTTTTAAGGAGTAGATGAGTGGCCAGATGCTGTATCTCCTCCCTGTAGGCAGTCTGATCATTGTTGCTAATTAGACCAATCACCAGGGCCGGCGCTTCCATAGAGGCGACCTAGGCGGCCGCCTAGGCCGGCAGAATAGAGAGGGCGGCGTCCCCGAAACTACCCTCGCCACCCGCGCCCTCATCCGCGTCTAGGGTGGCAGAGTAGAGAGAGCGGCGTCCCTGAAACTACCCTCGCCACCCGCGCCCACAATTATATCCGTGTCTAGGGTGGCAGAATATAGACAGCGGCGTCCCCGAAGCTACCCTCGCCACCCACGCCTATGTTATATCCGCGTCTAGGGCAGCAGAATAGAGAGGGCGGCGTCCCCGAAACTACCCTCGCCACCCGCGCCCTCATCCGCGTCTAGGGTGACAGAGTAGAGAGAGCGGCGTCCCCGAAACTATCCTCGCCACCCGCGCCCACAATTATATCCGTTTCTAGGGTGGCAGAATATAGACAGCGGCGTCCCCGAAGCTACCCTCGCCACCCACGCCTATGTTATATCCGCGTCTAGGGCGGCAGAATAGAGAGGGCGGCGTCCCCTAAACTACCCTCGCCACCCACGCCTCAGTTATAGCCACGTCTAGGGCGGCAGGATAGACCCACCCCCCGGTTTCACTTTAGGTTTGAGGGCAGCGTGACCGTTCTTTGCCTAGAGCGGCAGTTCAGCTTGCTCCGGCCATGCCAATCACTGTGGTGTCATCTGCAAATTTGATGATGGTGTTGGATCCATTCATGGGCCTGCAGTCGTGAGTAAAAAAGGGAGTAGAGGAAGGGGCTCAGCACACAGCCCTGTGGTCCACCAGTGTTGAGTGTGACCTGTGTCTATAAAATTTCTGAACAGAGAATCATCTGGGTTCATTTTGACTAAAACCCACGGTACTGCCATGTACTTTGTTACTACTACCTGGGAATAAAGCTTTTTTCTTTTTCTTCAAGACATCCTCCTCATTTTTTCTTACAGCAGGGAATTCTTGATTTATCCACCTTATTAAGTGGTCATTTGCTAACTCGCAGACAAGCTATTCGCAAAATAAAGTGTACAAATGAACAAGAAGAGAGTCATTTTCTATTAAATTGTGCAGAAATTAGATAAACATTCTCTTTGTTTACATGTGTGTGCAGTTATGTGAGTAATTTAAATGTATAAATACACTGTTTGATCAATATTATGAACCTCCCCTTTCAGGCAGATTTGGTAAGACTCAGTCAATTGTCACAGAGTTGCTATGGTTATTACTAATGTTTATAATTTGTGTCCTTGTTCTTCCTGTGTCTTTAAACAGATCAAATTGTGTCTTATGTGTCCTACAGATCCTCCTCCTATCAAAAACACACCAGTCATTATAAAACAGAGGCATACATACAGATTGAGTCTCAACAACCAGTGAATGATGATCTTCAGAGAGTGAAAGAGCAGCACAAGTTCATCATGAAGAACAAGTACGAGAGCTTATTTGAGGGAGTGAAACTCCAGCAGAATCAAACCCTCCTGAACAGCATTTACACACAGCTGTACATCATAGAGGGAGAGAGTGAAGGAGTGAATGAAGAACATGAGGTGCTGCAGATGGAGAAGAGATACAAGACTCTCCAAGACACTCCAATCAACTGCAATGACATCTTTAACCCTTCAGCTGAAGCAGGAGATGAGGAGAAGAGCAGAGAGGAGAAAGAGCAGATCAAGACCGTTCTCACTAAAGGCATCGCTGGAATTGGAAAAACCGTCTCTGTGCAGAAGTTCATTCTGGACTGGGCCGAGGGAAAAGCCAATCAGGATGTAGATTTCATCTTTGTGCTTCCATTTCGAGAGCTGAACTTGATTAAAGATCATCAGTACAGTCTTCACACACTTCTGCTGGACTTTCATCCTGAACTTCAGCATCTGGACTCACAGATTTATGAGGAGTGTAAAGTCGTGTTCATCTTTGATGGTCTGGATGAAAGCAGAATCACACTGATGTTTTCAGACTGTCAGAAAGTTTCTGATGTGACTGAAGCTTCATCAGTGAGTGTGTTGATGTCAAACCTCATGAAAGGAGATCTGCTTCCCTCCGCTCTCATCTGGATCACCACCAGACCAGCAGCGGCCAATCAGATCCCCTCAAAACACATCAGCCTCGTGACGGAGATTCAGGGCTTCAATGACCCTCAGAAGGAGGAATATTTCAGGAAGAGAATCAGAGATGAAGATCAAGCCAGCAGAATCATCTCCCACATCAGAAGAGCAAGAAGCCTCCACATCATGTGCCACATACCCGTCTTCTGCTGGATCTCAGCCACTGTGCTTCAAACCATCCTGAAAGAAGATCTGAGAGCAGAAATCCCTCAAACTCTGACTGAGATGTACATCCACTTCCTGCTGATTCAGACACACATGAGGAAGCAGAAGTATGAAGAGAGAGATCCAGAGAAACTCCTGCAGTCCAACAGAGACGTGATTGTGAAACTTGCTGAACTGGCTTTCAATCAGCTGATGAAGGGCAATGTGATGTTCTACGAGGAGGACCTGATTGAGAGCGGGATAGACGTCGCTGACGCCTCAGTGTATTCTGGGATCTGCACTGAGATCTTCAGAGAGGAATCTGTGATTTATCAGAGGAAGGTTTACAGCTTTGTTCATCTGAGCTTTCAGGAGTGTTTTGCAGCACTGTATGTGTTTTACTGCTATTTACACAAGAAAACTGAGGTGATGAAGATGTTCCTGACAGGGAAACACAGAACTCAGAGTGAGAGTGTTTCTCTGGATGTGTTTCTGAAGGGAGCAATGAATAAAGCCTTAAAGAGTAAAACTGGACACCTGGATCTTTTTCTGCGATTTCTTCATGGTATCTTACTGGAGTCCAATCAGAGACTCTTACAGGATCTGCTGAAACACACAGAGAACGACCCAGAGATCATCAAGACAATAATCCAAAATCTCAAACGAGGTCAAAAAAACATCAGTCCTGAAAGATGGATGAATCTCTCACACTGCTTGATTGAAATGAAGGATAATTCTTTTGTTGAAAAAGTGCAATTGTTGTTAAATTCTGAAAAACAAAGTAAATGTCTTTCTCTTGCACAATGCTCAACTTTGGCAAACCTGATCCTGATGTCAGAAGAGGTATTGGATGTGCTAGACATTAAAAAGTACAACATGAAATCAAGCGAAGGCCGATTGAGACTACTGCCTGCTGTGAGGAACTGCAGAAGAGCTCTGTAAGTACAAATATTAACATGCACAGAAAAATCACTAGTGTAAAAATTAATGGCAGACCATCAGTCAATCTTCAACCAGAGGCCGAGAGCATAGATCTGATTTTGGGAAAGCCTGTTGTGAGCTGCTGTAGTGGCGGCTCCGATTCTGAAGGAATGGCTGGAGAATAAATCGGGGGAATGCCTGATAAGCGTAGTATTTCTTTGAGGTGTTACTGGGCGATTAGAATCATTGGTAAAGAGTGGGGAGAAAGGATTAGGGTCTTGGGATGTCCTAAGCTGTAGTAATGCTAGGAGGGTT